CTGGTCGTGGGCCCGGAGCCCCGCCGTGACCTTGCGGGCCTGTCCCCGGCCCGGCTCCCTTCTCCTCCTCGAAAGCCCTTTGCATCGTCGCTCAGTTCCACGTGGGTCTGAAGTTTGGGGGACCCTCTTCCGCCCTCCGGCCCTGCTGGTCCATCTCGGAGTCCCCGATGGCCGCCAGGGACGCTCCTGTCTGCCTCCGTGGCCTCGGCCAGGTGGCTGCCCCTCTCCGACCCTCAGTTTCCCCTTTTACGTGCGGTGCCAGCGCCCACCGCCGTGGTTGCGGTAAGCTGTCCAGCGCGACACCCAGGCCGTGTCGGGGGAGCGGCCAGGAACCCGGAGGGGGTCGAATTTCCGTCTCACTTTTACAACGTGACCTTGGGCCAGGGAGTTCCTCGCCGTGGGCTTCGGTTGCTCCTCTACCAAAGGAGCAAAGCGTGAGCGCGGACTCGGCGAGATGGTGCGTGGGGTGATGAGCCGCCGTATGTTACTTTGTCACTTGCCGTGGAGGGTCTCAGGTGCTAGTAAGGGACTGACCACGAAGTGGCTGATGTACATCGTCAGGGGCGCGTCTTTTATTTCCAAATCCTCCCTCTCCTCTGGGTTCAGCAGCTCGGGGACCGGTTTCCCTAACAGCCCCACAAACGCGGTCATTAACCTTGACTTGCTCACTCAACCCCGCTGCCCCCTCTCTCGTAGCTTAGGGCGGGTGGCTGACGGCCTCCCATGGCCACTCGTGTCCCGCACAGTCCCGGTCCGTTCTTAGCACAGCAGTAACGATCTCTTTCAAAGGGTGTCAGGTCTTGTCACGTCCCGATCAGGGACTTCCGGGGGCCTCCCCGTGCATTTGGGAGGCATCTGTGATCTGGCTGCCCAGGAAGCGCCTCTCCCTTCCAGCTCTAGTTAATTGAAGCCACTCTGCTCTTTTGTTCTTTTTGTGTTTATTTTTTTGTTTCCTTGGACCACCCTGGTCATCCTTCCAGTCTCAGCTTAACTGTACCTTCCCCAGACTCTTTAGGATACCCCCTTCCATCTGTTTGCCAGCCGCTTGTACTTCTCCCTGTTTCATTGCCAGTTTGAGGTCTGAGCAGTTTGAGGGCAGGGTTTGGGCTCTCCAGATATTCTGAATGAGGGCAAAGCAAGAGGGCTGTGAGGAGTCATGGGGACACCGTGAAGGGAGCGTGACTCCGTTGGCCTGGGAAGGCTTTCCAGAAGCAGTGGCCTGCGCGGTGTTCGCCAGGTCTTGGCTGAGGGAGGATGGTACAGGTGGTGGGAGTAGCAGGAGCCAGGTGGAGGTGTGAGAGCCGATGACTTATTTGGGGACAGTGAGGGCTCTGTGGTGGTTGATGTGTAGGGTCGTCTGATGCGGGCATCCTGAGAAAGATGTCAGCCTCGGGTGCACTTGAAGACGGGCTGGGGTTTCCCCCTCAGCTGGAGGGCAGGGCCAGGGCCAGCAGTGGGAGCAGCTCTAGGCAGAGGGTAAAGGGCAGGCCTTGCGTGTGACCTCCCTAGGCTGGGGTCCAGAAGCACAGGCTGGGCGTGTCAGAGCAGGTGGTAGAAGGTCATGGTGTTGGGGCCTTTGGACCTATCCAGGCAGGCTGAGGAGTTTGAACTTTATCCTGCGTGTGGAGAGTCAGGAGGGTGTTGGAGAGAGTGAGGAGCACAGTTGGAACTGCTCTTCCCAGAACAGAACCCTGTGGGAAATACGCCCTGAGATGACGCAGCTCCCTCCTTGGCTGGGTGTGGTTCCTTATGGTTCCTCCAGTCCCTAGCTCTCCTCTCCACTGGGCGGGAGGGGGTGGGGGCTTGCTGACAGCCCTACACTCACTTGCTACCATTTTGTGATCCAGTGAGGGATTTGACTTTCCCTAATAGACCCACCCTTCTCAGTTGCTGTGAGATAGTACATAAAGGCCAGATGGAGGCTCTTACTCATCAGGTCTTAACTAATGTTAGTGCCCTCCTGCCTGGCCTGCACCTGTCCTCCCTACCTCTCCTCCACCTGCCTCCTTGCCCCTCCTGCACCTGTGCCCTCTCCGCCTGTCCCCATCCCCTCCTCATACTGTCCGGTACCCAAGCCTCTCTTTCCAAGCATCTGGGTCCTCATTTCTCTGCCCTCAGAACTCACCACATCTTCTGAGAAAGGAAGACTGCCCCAGCCTGGACCCATTAGTCTCTCAAGCCCCTGATGTGGATGCTTTCACAGTAATCCGTAAGCAGAGTGTCTCTGGGAGTTCCTGGACCTGCTCTGAATGCGATGTGTCAGAAGATGGCTTGTCCTTGGTAGCCTTGACTGTTTCTGGTTCTCTAAGCTGGGATAGGCTGTGTTGGAACATGGGCACTTGTATCACTGGGCCCTTTTGAAGAACTTCTCCCAGTTCCTTTAACTCAAGAGGATGAGGGAACTAATCAAAGTGAAACCGTGATCTTTGTGGCATTTGATACAAGCACAGGCTTAGTTGTAGTGGTTGTGGGGAGGAAAGTCCATGAAGTGTGCTTGTGGGGGGGAGGGAATATATATACACACAAACACACACACACACACACACACACACACACACACATATATATATATATCGATTTCAGAGAGGAAAGGAGAGGGAGAGAGAGAGATAGAAACATCTATGATGAGAGAGAATCGTTGATTGGCTACTTCCTGCACACCCCCCACTGGGGATCGAGCCCACAATCCAGGCAGGTACCCTGACCAGGAATTGAACCATGACCTCCTGGTTCATAGGTTAGCACTCAATCACTGAGCCACACCAGCCGGGCTTAAATGACTTTTAAAAAAAGATCCAGTTTCTGTTCACTTTCCATTTTATGTAAATGACAATTTTCATCATCAGCCTGGCTCCCATGGATCAAGGTTCAGCAGACTTTCCAGAAAGGGCCGGATAGGGCATCTTGTCAGCTTTGCAAGCAATTGCCCAACTCAGCAGTGGCAGCCAAGAACAGCCAGAGGCCCTGCATACTGGCATAGGGTGGCTGTGTTCCAATAAAACTTTGTTTGCAAACACAGAAGGTGGGCTGTTTGTCTCTGTGGCAGACTCTGGGAAAACCAGAGGTGCATTCTCTGGCTCTGTCTGGAAGTTGGGGGACTCTACTGCTCCCCATGTGGTCCCAGGGTGAGGAGGTGCCAGGGGCTCTGAGCATTGGAGGGGGCATATACCAGGTACAGTATTTAGGGCCAGGATGAAGGGCACCCTTGGGGGGCAGTCTGGTGGGGAGAACTTGGAAGAGGGGCCTCCTAAGTCTGCCTTTGGTGAAGGGAACGAGGTGACAGGTGAGGTGTGTGGGGTTTCTCCGGGAACGGAGGCAGGGATGGCAGGATGCTGCCTTAGTGAAGTGCTCTGAGACCTTGGGTGGGCCTCAGGCAGTCCACCTCCTTGCCCTCCCCTCCCAGAAAGCTGGGTGGCCCGAACACACAGCTTCTTTGGAGCTTGGCACCATGTAAGCATTGCTTTGGCTGTCAGCGCCTCACTCAGGTGCCACATGGAAGGGCCAGAGCTGATGGGCTGACTGGAACAGTGGCAGTTGGGGACTGTGGAAAGTGGAACTTGCACCCACCGCCTGGTGTCCGCCTTCAGACTTCAAGGTTGGGGCACCCTGGGCTGTCCTCCATGCTGCCACCACTGCCAGGTGACCAGGGCCAGGGTAGGAAGCTCTTGGAGTGGCCTGGCTGTGCTTTCGCAGAGGGCCCAGCTGCCTGCGACCTGGTGCTCCGCCTGGTGTTGGAGCACACAGTCTATCAGGATCCTTGGCCAAATCAGAGCCCCCACCCCCTCCCTCACCTTGGCAAAGCCACATCCTCGGTGTGGGTTCACTGTGCCAGGTGATGACCGTCCCCCATCCTGTGTCCTTTATTGGGAGCAGCTGCCACCTGCTTGTCTCTGGCAGACTCCGGGGAGCCCAGGGGTGCAGTCCCCGGCTCTGTCTGGAGGTGCCTATAGCCCAAGGGGAGCGAGAGCTACAGAAGGGCAGGCCTAGGAGCCCAAAGCGTGCAGAGCTTGGCCCTTTCAGCTCCACAGAGCCCAGGGGCCAGGAGGGGCCGGGGCCTGTGGGTGTGGTGCGTGCCCCTGGCTGGGTGCTGACAGGTCTGAGGTCACACCCAGGTCTCCCCAGGGAGACTTGTCCCTCCCTCGTTTTCTCCATCCTGAGATACTTGTGTGTGTGTCCTCTCTGTCCTGTCTGAGGGAGGAAACCATCCCAGCCTTCACAGGTGTCCTCCTTTAACTTGGACCCCATGTCATGGATGGTCGGCCCCCGCCCTGAGCTCTTTGCCCCCTGCCCCGTTGCTCCAGGTGGCCTGTGAGTATGGCATGGTACACGTGGTCTCCGAGATGGGGGGCCCGAAAGGCAAGGATTACTGCATCCTCTACAACCCACAGTGGGCCCACCTGCCACATGACCTCAGCAAGGCGGTGAGTATTGGACTGGTGGCCCTCCTGGCGCGGTGTCTCTGAGCACCCCTTTCAGCTTGGGATCTTGTCTGTCTTGCTGTCATCCCTCCCCCCCTCTGCCCAGTGTCCAGAGGGGCCCTTGGAGAGACCCTCCCTTGCAGAGAGCCAGCTGGGGGAAAGAGCTCCGAAGGACCTCAGCTGGGAGCTGGGGTGGGGTCTGGTCACACTTGAGAGGCCTCTGGGCAGCCCTAAAGGGGCCCGTTAACCTCTCCGGGCCTCAGTTTCCTTGGTCATGGATGAAAGACATCTGTTCGGAGTGCTCTGTAGAGATGGCCTCTGGTGGAGACACCAGCCAGGCTTTCGTGTGTGGGATGGGGGCTGGCTGCCAGAGGGCTCCTGAGAGGAGTGACAGCAGAGGGCGGGGCAAGGGCTCTGCTCTTCTTGTAGGAGACCCCTCTCCCTGGTCTGGCCTCCTTCCTCCACTCAGAGGACCGGGAGGATGCTCTTGTGGGTGAGTTCTCACCACAGAGGCTGACGCTCCTGCCCCTTGTATTCCATTCATAATGGATGCTAGAGGTGGATCTGGAGATGCAGGGAGGATTTCTGAGGGGTTTGCTCTGAGCGCACACCACCTGTCCTTCCTGTCTGCCTTGCGTTTGGTATGTGTGTCTGCAGGCCCTGCCCACCCTCCACCTCTCATCCTTTCTTGGTGCAAGGGCCTGAAGTCCAGTGGGACCCAACGGGAGGGGGCATCAGGATGGCGCTCACTGTGGTGATCTGGATACTGAAGGCTCAGCACAGCTGGGCAGGTTTCTCTGATGCCTTGGTTCCCATGAGGACTGGGGCCCGCCCTGACTCTTCTAGAACAGCTCCTATGAGCGCTGCCTTCCCTCAGTCTCTCTTGCAGCTGAGGGACTGGACGACTTCCATGCTCTGCTCTGCATCCGACCTCCCTGCCAAAGGCTTCAGCAACCAGATTCCACTGGTGACTCGGGGGAACTGCACCTTCTACGACAAAGTGAGGCTGGCCCAGGGCAGCGGGGCGCACGGGCTGCTCGTCGTCAGCAAGGAGACCCTGGTACAGCTGCTTGGGCGCCCTTCTGGGCAATAGGACCTACCGAGGGCAAGGGTTGGAGGTGCCCTAAGGGAAGCCGGGAGGAGCCCCTGGGCCCCCACCAAAGTGGGCATGGGTGCTGGCCAGGAACGGGTGGCCACAGCCAGGAGAGAGAAGTCTGGTTTGCCGACCGGCTGTGGACTCAGGCCTTTGGACCCTCATCTTGGAGGGGGCTTATCCCAGAGCAGTCCTGTGGGTTGGGGGATACAGGGCCTCAAGGCAGAGCTCTGGGGGTGCCTTCTAAGGAGTGGGTGGCATGGGTCCACCTGCCGACCTCTCCTCCAGGCCCCCAGCCAGATGGATTGGCTCCTGAGCCCAAGGTTTGAGTGAAGGGCTAGGTTTTCCTCCCCTCGTGGGTGGTGCCGAGCCTGTCGGCCTCCCTCCTGGTGTGTCCCCCTCCTGTGCTGGCACCTGATGACCCAGCACACACGAGGGCATCTTCCCCTTCCTTAGAGAGAGGGCTAGCTAGCTTTGTGGGCCATGCCGTCAGGAGGGGTTGGCTGTCTGCACCATCCTGGGTGGGCCTTGGTCAGCCAGCAGATCTGCCTCCTCTGGACTCCCAGGTCCCCCCAGGAGGCAACAAGACGCAGTATGAGGAGATCGGCATTCCCATGGCCCTGCTCAGCTACAAAGACATGCTGGACATTTTTAAGGTAGGGGATCCCTCCCCCTGAAGTGTGTTGGGCCGGGGCCTGAGTAGGTGGTGGGCAGGGCCTGTGGCAAGGCCATCCTGTCTGGGGCTGGCCAGGGGTGGGTCTTGCCCACTATGAGTCAGCCACATCGTGAGGGTAGGCCTCCAGTGCCACCAAATCCCAGGAATGGAGACCATGGCCCTGAAGTGCCCTGTGCAGCTGGTTAGAGTAATCCAGGCTCCAGGCTTGGCCAGCCTGGCGCTCCCCATACATGGAGAACGAGCATTGCTCCCTCTCTGCTGCTTGCACACTCCTGGCCCAGGCCTGTCTGACTGAGGCCCATGTTCATCTTTGGTTTGGGGAGCTGGGTCTGGAGCAGGGTGAGCATCTACACTAATAAAAGAGAAACATGGTAATTGGCGTACGACCGCTACCCTTTTCATTGGCTAATCAGTGAGTATATGCATTACACAGGTGATGTGCTCCCTCATGCAAGCACACGCACATCTCGGCGCAGGGCTGTGTTCTCGCACGCAGGGCTGCTTGCCTGTCTTCATGCACAGCCTGTTACGTCAGAGCTGATTGCTTTGGGGTCAGGATTGGTGGATGAAGGCATAGGGCAGGGGCCTTGGCCTTGAATCCTGATGTGTTCTCCGAGGCAGAATTTTGGCCGATCTGCGAGGGCAGCATTGTATGCCCCGCACGAGCCCATGCTGGACTACAACATGGTCATCATCTTCATCATGGCCGTCGGCACTGTTGCCCTTGGGGGCTACTGGGCTGGGAGCCGGGACGTGAAGAAGTAAGTATCCTTCCTTTACGTGTGTGCGCATTGTGTGTACATGTGTGCACACGTGTAACTGATGGGTGCCCCTAATGCTGGGAAGCGAAAGTAACAGGACTGCTCAGAAGAGAGGTGTCCACACTCCAGAGAACCTTCTGGAATACAGTTGCTGTGAATACCTGGGAGACCCAGCCAAAGGCCCTCTGGGTCCCGCTCCCTGAGATTGTGCTCTGGCACTGGGATGCGAGCCCAGGCCCTCCCCACCCTCCCCAGGGAGCACTTAGGAGACAGGGCCTGTGGGTAGTCCCAGCGGTGTTCAAGGGCGTCTCATAGTTGGTGACCGGGAGCCTTGTCTGCGAGGACCCTGAGCTCCTGGACAAGGGTGTGAGGTCCAAGAGGCAGGTGTGGCTCTCCTGTTGGAGGGGCACTGGGGACACATAGTGGGTCTGGAGAGGGCGGACAGGCCAACAGATGAGCTGTCCCTGCCAGTCCTTCCCAGTCTCTGGCCCTTAGTCCTAGCGCTGTGCAAGCTGGCCAGGCGTCCTCATGACCCGTGTTTCTCAAGAAGGTATATGAAGCACAAGCGGGATGATGAGCCTGAGAAGCAGGAGGACGAGGCTGTGGACGTGACGCCCGTCATGACCTGCGTCTTTGTGGTCATGTGCTGCTCCATGCTGGTGCTCCTGTACTACTTCTACGACCATCTTGGTGGGTCTCCGCGGCCGTGGCTCCTCTGGAGAAGTCCAGTGGACGGCAGGGTGACAGGAGGGCTTCCGGGTGGGTTTGTCCCCTCCCTTTACTGGGTGGAGGTCACCCTGCCCAAGTGCAAGAGTGCACGGGGCCTTTGGGGGTGGCTGGGGCCCGCAGCCGCCTTT